GAAAAGGGTCTAGGCCCGAAACGTCAGCCTCTCTGCTCCTAAGAGGTCTCGACAGGTTGATGTGAAGAGGTTGTTTCCTCTGACAGGAGGGTCTACAACAAGGGGGTCACTATTTATACATCAGGGGTCGTTCATTTAACACAGAGATGAGGCAAAACTAACCTTCAGAGGGTCATGAAAAGGTGGCGGAAAACAGTGTCTTGGAACATTTTAAATGCAGAGGAGGATCAATTCCAGGTATAAAACAGGATGAAAGGTTGTTGGGAGAGGCAGAAATGTGGATTTGAAGTCACAATCAGATTAAACATAATCATGGGGAAGCATGCTACAAAGGCATATTCCTTGTTTACAGATAAATTGTACGGCTATGGGGACAGACGAACTCATAACATTCCCGAATTGTGCCATGACAGTCAATGATGGCAAAAGACCACTGAGCCTATGGTCAATAAGTTTTTTTGTCATTTTCAACCACTGGAAAGATCATTACAAATCCTGTCTTCAAGTCCAATGTAACCATTTCCTTTCTTCTCCTGCTTAGAATGTACAAATTCTCAATGTTAAAACGTTTCGCAACTTCCTCCTACACATAACGAATCCTGGAAAACACATGTCTCTTGGGAGTCCTGACAATACGTGCACAGCCTTAACACTGGCGTCCCTTCTGCCAAGCACATGCTGATGGGCCTGCTGTGCATTTCTTTTAATAATTTACTCTAAGCCCATCTCTTTATATCATATCTGAAACCTTTATGGAAAACAATCTTGTTGATTTCACTGTTGACAACTGATTAGAGCTGGCAAAATTCCTGCCAGTAAGATCCACACATAACACAAAATTGCTGCATCAGCTGCCAGCCCATATCTTCCTTATAGATCAATTTATATGTCAAAAAGATTCCTATGATTTTAATGTATGTAATAACACTTTGATTACATTGGTTATTAATTTTGTCAGTGGTTCCTTGGAAAGTCATCAACTAGTTGATATTGCATGAGCTTATCTCACCAACAGAAATCTTACCTGCTGAAATCTTAGTTGCTGTCGAGCTGAAGCGTGATTCTCAGGTAATATTTTAGCTCAGCATGATGGCAAAATGCACCAGGTAAATTGCAATGTACAATCATTCAAGATGATCAAAGAAAATGCTGCATTTTTTCTTTAAGATCAGTTGAAGGATTGATCCGGCTAGGGTGAAATGAATTAGGCTGAAACTCCAGTTTAACCCATGAATCATCATGTCCCAAATATCTCTGACCAAAGTAAGATTTTATTGTCTTTGACCTCACTGCCTCAAAATTGTAGAAAAGTATACACTGAGTGCTTTCACGATTGAACACTGCTACTCTATTCAAAAATCTACTTAGTAACAGTTAAGTTGATCAACATGCTCAATGAAATGCTTTCCATGTAGGCAATCTAGCCAATCATAGTTGCAAAGGAAATTTCAGCAAAAGTAACTGGTATCGGTTCATGGTGCAAAGCAGCTGTCTATTTTTATTGATAACGCCTCTTAAAAACATATGACTACAGCACATCAATTTATCAATACTCCTTCATTTCTCCCACAGCACTATGAAATCTCATTTTTAATTGAAGTTTCATCAGGTCCCCATTACTGCCAATATTATCTCAAATAAAAGCTGCAACATTTACTTTAATTTTACATCCCATGTTCACCTGTATTGTGTATCACCATTATTTATAAAAGGCCACAAAACTAAACAATTCAAAATGTATGTGACATAGGTTGCGCTATTAAATGACAATGAAAAATAAGTCCCTATACCTGCATAGTTAGTAAAAACTGGAGCACCCACCTGATTACCTCCCTGACCATGGCAACCAAACAAAGACAACTGTGCTCCAATAGGACTATGTTCAGGTGCATTGTAATCCAGACATTCAGAAGGAATTCCAACACTACGAATCTGGAAAAAATAGTATTAAAAGCAATCCAGTAAAAGAAATGTTACATCTATTGACACACTTGAATTTGAGCAGATGGCAGCAGTTCACTGTTGGTAAATATTGAAAGGTTCAAATCAGACGCCCTTTCAACCCTAAAACTAAAGCTGGTCCAGCATTGATGTTCTACAATGATGCAATGCCATGTTATGGAGGTGGAAGTCAGAGAACTTTGGGATGGTGAGGATTAAGGTTGGAAGTTCAAAGTAGGAACCAAACTGGACACCATATTGTGAACAGTTTGGTTCAGACTGAGAAGTTAGGGAGTTGTTGAAATAAAGACTATCCAAGAGTACGGGGAATGAGCAAGCAAGTAAGTCTGTCAGTGAGGTAGGTGAATGAGTGAGGTAAGTGAGTGAGTGTGTATGTGTGTCATTTAAATTGTTTCCAAGTTACAGGCAATTTGAAGTTTTATGCTCCTCTCCAAGTTCATGATTTTTTTAAAACTAAGGAAAATCCTTCTTTTACAGCACAAGAGGTGATTCAGCTCATCATGCTTGCATTCGATCAGCGAGTGAGTTGCCCTCTTAGTCGTATTCTCTTGCATTTCTATGGATCACTTAAAACTTTTGTTGCCAAGAAGTAGGAACTGCCCTTCAGCTGAGAGTTAACTTTCTCTTCAAATAGTGCAGAAACTGCATTTTTGGAGCAGGGTCGGGGGATTGAGAGGGGAGAGAGACAGAATTGACGCATATGCTTACCGCCCCATGCCAATTAGGACGATCCTCAGGTACATGCAATTCTGGGTATACATTCTTCAAATACCAGTTGAAACTGTTGCATTGTAAACGATCTCGGAGTAGTTTTCTTTCAGAAATATCTCCATATTTTTCCTGGAACAAAGGAAAGTCTTTACAATGAACCATCCATAATCTCAAACTGATTATTTGCTTCTGCTTCATTCCGCATTCAAACACTTGGAGCTTGCACCCAAGGATAAGTGATGAAGGAGTCTGGGATGTTGGGTGATAAAGTCGTACTTAGTGGTAGTCTCCCAGCTTAGAAAGCATTCTTAAATATTAGTGGAGCGAAGAGAACTTTACAAGGTTGACTGGTCTGAAATGACCTCACAGTTTTCCAACCTGATCCAATATGTTGGTTGTCACCAATCAGTCCACTTGTTACTGCCACAATGATTGTGACTGTGTATGATTCTTTAACTTGTTCAGCTAGTCCAACGTATTAAGGGTGGAACACAGTGGCTACATGCAGTCTACAGAGTGTCAGTTTTGGTGGGACTGTCCAAATTTGTCCTGTAAGATGAGGCTCCTCAGCCATCCTGCTTTGCAATCCCATAATAAATCAAAAACTGATTCAGTGGTGGCACAGGACATGGATTAGGTAAAGGTAAAGTCACCGTAGTCCTACCAGACCATAGGGCTGCTCTCTCATTCTAGAGAGACACAGCTGGTAATGTTTAAACCTGAGGGTCACATCACCTCTCGGCAAGGGAAGAGGTTGAGAAGTAGAGTTCTTCATAGTAACCTTAGCTGATGTGGGAATAGAACCCATGCTGTTGGCATTATTCTGCGTAGAAGACCTGATGCCAACTGAGCTAACCTACTCCCAAACATGGATTAGTTATCAATTCAACAGCAGTTCTTGAATGGTGCCAACTTTAGAACAAAATTACTGAACAAGGAAATATTACCAGTCAGCAAAAAAACACCAGTAATTCTAATCTGTCTTCATTATCCTATTCTTTACAGTGGCTATGAAGGGTTGAACCAGAAAGAACTGCTTCCTTCCATCAGTCTGTTAACCATGTTTGTAATACTGTTTAAGGCTATTTTCAATGCATAATTTCTGTAACTTGAGAAAGCTACCCTAATGCACCCTCATATAGCTATGTAAAATCTGACATTCAACTCTACTGTTTCAAAGCAAGAATAATTATATTTACTTAAATATAATGGAACCTTCATTATTCACCCAAGATTAACAGGTATAATTTTAGGAACAAGGTCTCATCACTAATTGCTATTTGGATTCATTTTTCTTGGTGAATGAGCAGATCTTGTTTTTGTTATCTATATTCTGCCTGCCTCTGTTCCTATGCTTGTGAAGGCAGATAATGCAAGTTCAACTGTAAATTAAGATGCAAAACACAAACCTCATTGCTCAGTACCTTTTTAGCTGGAGGATTCCGGTAATAAAAGTGTACTTTGTATTCATCCATCCACACCTCAGCTGCTCGCACAGTGTTCTGGAGGAAATTTGGGCGTGCATAAGGAGCACGCTTTGGAAAAACGTGGCCTACATGTGAACAGGGATCAATTTCCAACGTGCCTCTACATTGCCATATCTTTTAAAGTAATTTCGAAACAAATTAACACAAGAAAATTCCACCACAAAGTACTGCTACAACAGCTTCGAATACAGTCATACAATTATAAAACATAAAAGGAGACCTTATCAGTACATTAAATCTCTTTATTAACATGCAATTATATATCATCTTTAACATACAAAAGCATCCCAAGGCTTGCCACAGAGACCTAATTAGAAAAAGAAAGCAAGCAACGGGTGGTGAGGAAGAGGAGGGAAAGTACTGCAGGGTTAGGGAAGAATACCGGGTTAAATGAAGGTAGGGCTCTCAATTGAAGGGTAATGCAAAGGCTGCAAACAAGACTGGGTCAAAAAAGAGAAAGTTTGATAATGTGTGGGTTGTTTAGGGTTACCAACTCTGTGTGGAGTTCAAATTACTCAACACCTGCAGAAAAATGTCCTAAGATGTGTAAACAAGAGCAACACCAGTAAAAAACATTTTTGATATTTTGATATCTAAAATATGTTTTCATATATTGCTGAGCGACATCAGAAAGAAGGGCCCAAAATAGATATCCTCCAACGGTAACAGAGCCACCTTCTCTTTTCGGCACTGGCAGTGGTGTAATGACAGTGTCACTGGACTGGTAATACAGAACCCCAGGTCAATGTTCTGGTGACACGGGTTTGAATCCCACCATACCAGCTGATGAGAATTGTATTTAATGAAAAATATGAAACAGAAAGCTGGCCTAAGGGTAAGAAGGAAATCTGCCATCTTTACTGGTCTGGCCTACATGTAATTCCAAACTCACAACAATGCGGTTGATTCATAACTGCATTCTGAGCAATTAGGGATGAGTGATTAGTGCTACGCTAGCCAGCAACACACTCACTCCGTAAAGGAATAATAAAAAAAACAATTAATTCCAGGTGATTCTCTGCCTGTGGTAAAAACAGCTAAGAATAGAACTAAATCAAGGCAGTTCCATAGCCTAGATGATGAAGGAGAGACTTTGGAGAAGGACATTGCAGCCAATAATGTTGAAAATTGCAGAGATTCAGATGGATGAGGAGGTTGTCAAAATAACAGTCTTCACGAAGGATTGTTTCTGTCATGTGGATAGCGAGAGACCTGACTGGAGACATTCAAAAATGGTGTTGTGGGAAGTATATGCACAGATTTGGCACATAACAACACATTCAAGGAGAGGGAAGAGAGGTTGGAAGTAAGTGTTAATTTGCAGGTACAGTAGAGGGAAGAGTAGGTTTACTTCCAGCAGGATGGCAAAAGAAGATTTGAAGGAGATGTGCCAGTCCCAAAGGAAGGGGAACCTTTAAAAAAATCAACTAACCTGAGACAAGGTAAGGGAAACTGAGTGGTTAAGAGATTTGGTTGCAATTTGTTGAAGAGAGCAGAAGTTGGTTCTGATTGAAAGTTTGAAGAAGGTCCTGCCGGAAGTAGAATGGAATCTCAAGAAAAAGAAGTTCAGGGCTAGAACAGCTAAGAATATTAGGGGATGTTTGTCCCGAAGGGCAAGGGGAAGGGATGGAAGCAGCAGGTGCAGCTAAATGGATTATCTTCAGCTTTCTAATGAAAAACGCCATGAGCTCCTCATACTCACTGCCAGTGGTGCGACGGAAGACACTAAGTTGGAGGTTTATGAGCAATTGGGTTGTCGAAAAACAGAAATTGACAAAGTGCTGGAAGCAAATTTAATAGCAACAATCCAAAAGGAATTGGATACATACTTGGAAAATGAAAAGATCTCAAGGCTACGGGGAACAAATGGATAGCCCTGACAGAAGGGCCAGCACAGGTGTGATAAGCCAAATGACCTGCTTTTGTTCTGTGATTCCATCTGCAGAAGTTATCTTTTTATTCCTGGATGAATTTTGAACAGTGCGCTTGAGAAAGGCAAGGTGATTACAAAGGAAGTTACCAAAACCTTGAGGATTAACAAGGGGTAAGTTCATCATAACCATGGGGTAACAACGACACATGAGGGGGTGTTGTCATAAACACTCATGGAACATTTTATCCAGAAGGACACAGTTAGAAGGAGTGACGGCAGTTAAATACAGCAGAAAGAGAACAAGCATGGATGAGGGGGTCAAAATCAGCAGAGAGGTAAGTTGTTCAATGCACAGGCTAAGAAAGTGCTACAGAAATAACAGCATGATAGCTTGAGTGGGGCAAAGCAGGGGAAACCTCATTCAAGTGGAGTGTCGATACCCTTTTGCCATGTCTTCATCAATACTATGATACCAATGCGTATGTAACGTGACAATGACCCAAATTTTCCAGTCTCCAGATCAGTAGAGATTGGATATACGATGGAAGATGCATAGCAGCATCCTGCTCAAGTCCTGATGTGTGCAGCTGAGAATTGCTTGTGAACTTGTGAAGCACCCAGGACCATCTAGAGTTGGCGACTTGAGAGAGAGAGACCAGTGATACTTATGTGGAAAATTACCCAGGCAATGTTTGACAGATGAAACCCTGATTTAAAACCTGGATAACTCCACATCCAAACCCCTAAATATCCTTCACTACCCCAATCAACACCACCCACACTCCAACACAAATCAACTAACCGACTACACCCTCCCTCAACCCGATAATCCTGCCCAGCCCAGCTGGGCTCATCAGCAAACCCCTACAAGCCAATCTCCCTAACAACCCAACTATCAAATTCACCCAACTACTGACATGCATCGAAAGGCCAGCCCTTCCAATTCACCAGGCAGACTACAATGGTTGGTGTCGTAAAAGGCTAATGTCTCTTGCGTTCCCTTATCACCACTCCAATCTTGGCTGATACTGCATTATGCATTTCTTTGACATCTAGGATCAGACAATCCCAAAATAAAATGTACAGTGACCACAGGGTGGAAGAATCGTCATGTGCTGTGGCAACATTGTGTACACCAGAAGGTTCAGTGTCATTCTAGTAAGTTCATGGATGCCAAATGTTTTATTTGCAAGCCAACATAGCTTTTGAAGGGAGATGTGGAGGGCAGTAGTGGATAGAGGAGAGGGCTGGAATGGAGGGATGGCAAGGTTATCCACCAGCAGGTTCACCAGTCAGGAAAGGCAAGGATGAAATAATCAAGGTTACAACTCTTTAGGAGGCAGTCATGAGTGGCTAAGCAGGCTTTCTAACATGACAAAATAGAGGCTAGAGGATTATCAAAAGAGGAAATTGAGCCAGAGACAGTAGCATTGCAATTAAAAAGGCAATGAGTAGTGAAGAATGAGTTTACATTACCTGAGGGCGGAGAAAGGGAAGGAGGCAGATGCCAAAAGGGGTAAACAGGGAGGGGACAAAAAGGAATGGAAAGGAAAAAGGAGGTCAGATCCAGAATGGCAGCCAAAACATTCATAAATGGTTACAGGGAAAATAAGCTACATGGGCAGCAAGGTTACTTACTAATTCAAGACAGTAGCCATGGTGAACGGTGTGATCGGGACAGAAATAAAGTCACTGAGACTACTCCCAGCAAGCAAATCGGTTGCTTCTCATAATGAGGCAACAACATTCATGTCAATTCATCCTATAGGAAACACTCAGAAAGGCAACAGTGTAGCTATGTTCTCACATAAATACAACGACACACAACACTTACCCTAAAGGATAGCTCTAGATTCTCTCCTCCCCATACTTCCATCCCTGTGTCATAGGTGCCCAGGTATTCAAAGTACTTCTTACTGACAGCAAACAGCCCACCTGCCATCGTAGGTGATCTGATGAGAGATGCATTTTTTCGATTTTGCATATTTAGCGTTGTTTTTAAATAGCAGCCAAGAAGAAAACAGAGCAAATGAATCGATTATATTCATTTCAATAAGGTATAGAATTCAGGACCTGCCAATGATTCAGCAAATAACCTTACTGCTTAGCTGCGATAGGAGACCAACAGTCTTTGGTTCTATGTAGAATTAATATTAATCAAAACTGAAGCATCGAAATTTGTTTCTGTTACATTGGACTGGGGAGAAGAGGATGAACAATTCAACCAGCAATCCGGCTCCCAAACCTGGGCAAGAACAAACTCTGGCTCAAGTGTCATGAAAACAGAAAATGCTGGAAATACTCAGTATGTCAATCAGTATTATCTGAGAGAGAAAGGGTTAACTGTTCATTGAACCTAAAAGGTTAGCTCTACTTCTCTCACTACAGATGTCATCAAATCTGTTGAGCACTTTGGTATTTTCTGTTTTTGTTTCAGATTTATAATATTTTGCTTTCCTCTGACTCAACTGTGATGCCCCCAAGGCTAAATAAGCCTGGCAAAGTTCACATTCTCATCTCAGCCAATAGCAGGAGGTTGAATAATGCCCAAATATCCAGAAGAAAACGGGGAACAATAAAAAAAAGCACAGCAACAGGATACATGCAGTTATTCTAGAACAATTCACAGCATAGATCTTGTACACAAAAACAATTTGAAAATTGAGGCTTATTCCTTGCTTATGTTCATTCAATGGCTTTCAATTATTAGTCCTGACTAACATACTTTGCAAAATTTGTTACAACTTCTGCACACTCTGTTCCTGCAGGAGTGTGATAACACAGACTTTTTGTTTCTATCCTGTTCCACATGTAATATATCTTGCCTGTTATTGAAGATTTTCACTTTGAACTATTTTTAACTATAGATCAACATGCTAAATAAAAGTAACAAATGATGGACATTCTGTTGCATTTTTAAGCAATCAGATTATTGTATTTCAAGTGTTTCAATCTCCTTTTAAATTAAGTTTTTTAAATGAGCAGTTCTGCACTGAATACATTCCATTAAGATTGTGAGCAAAATATCCTTACCTAATTGGGTCTATTCTTGATTTCCTTCGTTTTCTTTCACGATCGGGGACAACATGCCACTGGAATGTAAGACGCCAGTCAAATCCACCAATCATCGGCTCCCCTGTCTGCATGTAGAATGCAAAAGTGTTCCAATCGATAGTGTCAATAACTGGGCATACAACAGCAGTCTCATTCTCACTAATCCTAAAAATAAAAAGATTTCCATCAACAATACATAAGGGAAGGTATAAATATTCTTGGGTGAGTTGCTGATGGATTTTGGTCAGTTATGGCCTACTTTGCTGTGACAAGAGTAGTTGTGAATTGTGCAGCGATGGGTTCTGAGATAGAATATTGCATATAACAGTCAGTGCACCAGTGGTGAATGAAGTTATCTTTCACAGCTCCCACAGCCGGCAGCATTGCTCGACAGCCAGCGTTTTAAAGTTGTAAGGGTGAAGGGTCAAGAGCAAGGTACAACTAGAGGAGAAGACGACACAATGTTCCAAAGAAATTTGTGAAAATTAGATGAAGTGGGAACAAAAACAAAAGTTGCTGGAAAAGATCAGCAAATCTGGCTGCATCTGTGAAAAAAAAATCATAGTTAACGTTTCAGGTCCAGTGACATTACACACTACCTACTGTCAGTCACCAACAGTCCCCATTTACAGCTATTCACCCTCCTAGCCAGATTGTTATCAACTCCTTTGTCTTCTGTCTGTTTGGGCTCTATCCCCACCTATTGTTTACTCCTGAACACTCCCCCATACCCCCCACATTTTCTGCATATAAACCGACATTTTCCTAGCTACTATTGGTTCTGAGGAAGGGTCACCAGACCCAAAACATTAACTTTGATTTTTCTTCACTGATGCTGCCAGACCTGCTGAGCTTTTCTAGCAACTTCCTTTTTTGTTCCTGATTTACAGCATGCGCAGTTCTTTCAGTTTTTATTTAGATGAAGTGAGTCCTGGTTAACAGGTACCAATGCTAAAAGCACATTATAGCAAAGATATACATAATTTTAGGGTCTTTGTGGCACAGTGATAGTGTGCCTACCTTTGAGTCAGGACTTTCCAAGTTCAAGTCCCACATGACCCATAGGTTTGTAATAGCAATGCCTGAACAGATTGATTAATGTAACTGTGCGTAATCTCACCTTGCCAACAGCGGCTCCAGCCATCCAGGAACACATTCGCAATGACAATCCAGAAATGTAAGCACATCTCCAGTAGAAAAAGTTGCACCAATCAAACGGGCACGGACCAGTCCTTCCCTCTTATTGGTTCGAATGAGACGAACTCGCTGAAGGTTACTGATATACTGCTCCAGTTGGGACTTCAGATAAACTAAAATATTCAATAATTAATGGCATTATCATACATATATTAATTGCTTTCAGGTCAGTGTATAGCAGAGTATCGTACAAGGCTGTAACAGTAAAACACATTTCTACATATCTACATTTATTACTGAGACACTTATGACCAAGTCAAATAGTTTTCTTCCAGTTTGGTCTATGCAATGTAAAGCAAAACCGACAATAAGGATAGACGAACACCAATTAGCCACCAAGAGACATGGCCAATTCTCACCGGTCTCAACACACACGGACAAAGAAGGACACGAATTTGACTGGGACAACACATCCAATAATAGCACGAGCCAAACAGAGACATGCCAGGGAATTCCTGGAGGCCTGGCATTCCAACCAGAACTCCATCAACAAACACATTGAACTGGACCTGATATACAAACCACTGAAAAACAGAAGCGGAAGTGATGCCAACCACCCCAGCAAACTGAGGCATATAAATAACAAGCAGGACAGAACACCGACGTTTCACCAGAGGTGCACGAGCAAGGTGACGAAACGTCTGCAACCAAACACACCAGCTCGGCAAGCAAGTCTACAACCTCATTTCACCACACCCTTGAAATGTGTCTTGTAGGTGGTAGACGGGACTTTTTTACCTAGTTATGCAGCTACAGTATTTATATGATTGGTCTAGTTCAGCTTCTGCTCAATGGTAACCCCCACGATGTTAGTGAGGGATTCAGTGATGGAAATGCCATTGAATGTCAAGCAGAGATGTTTAGATTGCCTCTTATTTGAGATGGTCATTGACAAAACAGCTAAAGATGTTGGGTGTAGGACAGTAACTCAAGGAACTCCTGCAGTAATGTCCTGATGCCGAGGTAACTGCCTCGAATGATAATCATCTCCTTGCTGTCTATTACTCCAAGCAGCTAAGCATTCTCCTTGATTCCAGTGACTTTAATTTTTCCTAATGCCGCATTTGTTAAATGTTGCCTTGATATCAAGAGCATTTGTTATCTTCTTACCTTTGAAAGTTAGCCATTTTGCCCATGTTTGTCTAAGATTCGAGTGGCCCAGCTGAACCCAAGCTGAGTGACAGTGAGCAGGTTTTAACTGAATTGAGTGCTGCTTGATAACACCTTCCATTATTATGCTGATGACTTAGATCAAACTGATGGAATAGATATTTGCTGAATTGGATTTGTCCTCCATGTTGTTGATAGAAAATTGCCAAGCAACTTTTCACATCGTCAGCTCAATATCATTATAGATGGTACTGGACAAGCTTGGCTGGGGGAGTGGCGGGAAATAGTTTCAATGGCACAAAAGGATACCGTTTGACCCATTAAGTCCTTGCTGGTTCTCTACGGAGTAATCAAGTCAGCCCCTCAGTTCCTCAATATACTTCCATAACCTTGTTAACTTATTTTCTTCTAGTGTCTAATAGTAACTTTGAAATCACTAGTAGTTTCTTCTTCCACCAAGCTTGTAGGTGCAAAGTTCAAAGTCATTAACAGTCAATGCACAAAAATTCCTTCTTCATCCTCCCTACATTTCATACTCAAAGCCTTAAATCTGTGACTACTTTGCCTTTATACCTTCAACTACTGGAAACAGATTTTGGCTATTTAATATTACAATCCCTGTAGATACTGTTTACATTTCACATTTTGAAATATAAAAACATAATATGAATGAGAAAGCAAGAGTATTAACATTATAACCAGTCAAGATGAAACCATGGCCTTTATCACAAAGGGGCTGGAGTACAGGAACTCAAAAGTCTTGGTACAATTGCACATACATACATGTGAAGCACTGTGTGCAGTTTTAGTTTTCCTATTTAAAGCAAGATATACTTGCATTACAGCACATCAAAGGCTCCCTAACTGATCCCGGAGATGTCTGATGATAAGTGGTTAAGTAAATTGAGTGTATATTTTCTGCAGGTTATAAGAATTAGAGGCAATCTGATTGAATCATTGAAGATTCTGAAGGGACTGGATAGGGCAGAGATTATTTCCACTGATTGGGGAATCCAATTCAAGGGAGCAAAATGTCTTGCGATAAGAGACCAATTATTTTGGGCTAAGGAGAAATTCCTTCACAGCAAAGATCATAAATTTTTGGAATTCTCAGCGAGTTTCAGATGCTCCACTGTTTAATATATCTAAAGCAGAGATAGACAGGCTTACTGTCTCAGGAGATCAAGGCATGTGTATGGGGAATGGGCAAGAAAGTAGAGCCATGGCTGTATTGAATGGTGGAGCAGGCTTGAAATGCCTTACCATTTTCTCTTGCTTCGTGTATTCTTATAAGATCTAAGAGTACATAAATCCAATTTCCTTTTTACTTTCATCCCCAAGAGCTCCCTTATCAAATAAAATTTTGAAGGATTGTTCACAAATGTTGATACTAACTTCAAACTTTTCCATGGGTACATTTTACAATACAGGACTCAGTTCAAATCTGAATTTCATCTGCAGTTGCTGCAGTGATTTTGACAGTAGCAAGAGTGTTAATTTTCTAATTACTCTGGTCTTTGCCTGGTCTTTTTCTTTTGTCTTCTGAACTCAGGTTTTACATAAAGTAATTAGCCGCTTTTACGTTTGACTCCCCCCAAAGACATTCTAACTTCTTCCAGGTGAGCAGTCCTTGGCAGATTTTTCTCTCTCTCTGTCCAATTCCAAAAACAACACTTTTGGGTTTGTGATCCATGTGACTAATTTATAACTCTGATGGGGTTAACAGCCCTCTCCTCCAAACAAATATCGCAACACACGAACGATGAACAGGAACAGGCTGTTGGGCCCTCAAGTCTGTTCTACCATTGAAAAAGTAATGTACAAAATCTTATAGGAGCCTGAATGGCATCAGCCATGGTTAGAAGTGTGGCAGGATCACTAGAGAAGTGTATTTCAACTTCAGAAATGACTTTTTGCATCTTTTAACTGAGTTCCAGGTGTCAGGGTAAGATTCGCACTAGGCAGCGAGTTTCCTCTTAAGGGCGATTATTGCTTGTTAAGAATCTTACTAACTGCAGACATTGCCTCATTATATCCACTACATCTGCTTCCTAAAATATTGTAATTCATGGGCCAGAACACGCGGATGATTTATAGTGCAGATATCTGCGATGTCTCACCATTTACACAATGTGCTGCTTTTTCAATCTTCTTGCCATTCCTATTTTAGCAACATCTGCCCTTAGGTGCTGCCACTATCAAGTTTGAGTGGTCTGTCTTTTCTTGTACGTTTCAGTTATCATTATCTTTATTGCTAACTTGCTTATCTGTCTAGCCCTCACCTTCACATCTGCCCTCATCCCCACTATTTAATTTGAAAGCCATCTCTATTACCCTTGATATACAACTCACTAGAACATTAGTCTCAACTCGATTCAGGTGAATACCGTCTGAAATCTTGCCTTTTGTGTACAATGACCAGACATCCCAGTTTTACTGGGATAGTTCCAGTTTTACACTAACTCAACAAGGAATACTGAAATGGGACAGGAAGCTGATCAGTCCCCTGAACCATGAACCTACTGCTTGATGGAGCAGGCACAAAGGACTAAATGGCTTA